CAAAGCAGACTTGATAGACTAACAAGTGCAGTTACCACATTCGGTATGTGCCTTGCACCTTCAAAGTGCAGTGATGCTGCAGGACTGGATCTCGCCTACTCCCGTTGTGAAACTAAATGGCCAGGATTTAGTTACGGTGGGTTGCCTTTCCTACTTAGTAGTTGCGTGACCAATGACGGTAGCGCAGCAAAGGAGATAACCGCCCACATTTCCAAGGCTCGAGCAGTATATGCAGAACTGAAACACCTCTGGCGTAGACACGACGATTCACTAAAGCTGAAAGGTTATGTGTACTGCGCTACCGTTCGTTCAGTTCTGCTTTATGGTTGTGACCTTGAATTTGCGCGTAGAAGATATCAGTCGACTAGAAGTTTTCGACTATCGGTTTTTACGCAGCTTAGCTCACGTGGGATGGAGCGAACGGGTTAGTAACGTGGAGGTAAGCCGTCGTGTGTTTGGGAGTTTAACAGGGACGAACCTGCTAGCACACCGAATTCAGATTAGTAGAATTCGCTGGCTAGGGCACGTATTGCGTATGCCCAGTTGTCTACCGCACCGCACTCTTTTCGCTGTAGTTAATCCGGGCTGGAGGAAACAGCGTGGAGGTCAACTGATGACATGGAGACGAGGCATGAAGAAATGCACAGAGCCATTAGGTAGAGTAGGTGTCTCTCGCCTTCCAGGTTGGGGTCTGAAAGACTTCACAACCGGTTAGTCGGAGACGTTGAAGGATATGGTAGCGAACCGACAGCAGTGGTGTGGTATGTATGCACAGTGCGATTGTGCACTCTGTGTGTTGGCCATAGCGGTTCTTCTCCCGCCCTCAAAGTAGGTCCAATCCCTGTTCACCTTAAATTTTACCACTAATCTTGTATGCATCGCGAGTTTGGCAGCGATTAGTGAAGTTCGCTTCACTGTATTCCGCTGTACGATGATGATGACTAGGAATTGCGTGTAACAGGACGGGGGACGCGGTCTCCCTAGAACGGTTAGCCGAAAACAAATCTGCTCATGATAAACCAATCAGAACAATAATTTGACACGAACTTTTTTCGCGAAGTAGTTACTGTCAACAAACTGGAAAATGCCAGCAGATGCAACTGAGTGACCACCTGAGAGTAGAAAAAATGATTGTGTAATTCATTTAACTTTTTCGTATTGAAAAGAACATGTGGGTGGAAATGTGTACATGTGGAAAAAACACGAACAGATTAACGTATCCAAAAAAAACAACTGTGTAGTGAGTGGTAGATATACATCATACATCAATCAAAAACGGGTCGACAAAATGTGTGAGACACAATGAACGGTCTACTAATTCACATTCGACTGTACAGGGGGCCAAAAGCGTAATTTCTCGGGGGTGGGGGGGGGGGGGNGGGGTGGTGAACGGTGGCGGTGAGGGGTGGTGCTGGATCAATGAGTGGAAAAGATAAGCGAGGTCTGCAAGTTGATCGACTAGCAGGAAGAAGATAAAATCCACGAACCAAGAATAGGCTGAAAAGACAAAATAATAAATAAATAGTGTGACTACGATTTAGTTGACTGGTTGATCGATCAAGTGTATGTGTGTACCTGTGTGAATGAGTAGTACATGGTCGTGCAAAAAGCCACCCCATGAAAGATGTGGAACTGAGAACTGATGGAAATCAGAAAAGTTAACAAGTAACCATACGAAACGTGCGTTCTACACGATAACATGATGAGTATCGGGTACGGGGAGATGCNATGGACGGATGGGTTAACCGATACGTGAGCAAAATGCACGAACGGAAAGATCAAGGATGATGATGATGATGATGTGTGTGTGTGTGTGTGTACCGTACTGAGGTTCGAGCAAGCAACAGGAAGCGAAATTGAGGGACAAGGGGGAGCGGGGGAGAGAGGAGCAGAGAGTAAATGCATCTGACATAAACCTGGACTATCAGACAGTCCTGCGTTTTCCTGTGGAACGAGTAGAAGGTTGTGGTGGTGATTGAGGGTCAATTTTGCTGAATCAGCAGTGATTTCGAGTAGAACAAACACGTACAAGGGATGCACGATATGCTATTGATACTGAAAAAAGTCACACCAAGTTTTGATAATTATCGTATGAGAGACTTGAGGAGAAGAAGACAGTGCGTAAAAAGTAAGATGAGAATAAGAACCCAAAGTGAGCACAAAAAGAATGATGAACTAAGGGGGATGAACGTGTTAGAAATCACCCCTGCTCCCACCGAAGCGGGGAACGAGGGCGACGGCGAACAGAGGCAGCAGTGACCACAATCGAAACCCACTCGTACTAGGCGGTGGGTTGGCC